TTATTTTTAAAAACAACAATGCACACTCTGCATAATTATGCATGCAATTTCTCATTATGCTGTGTACGTTTTTCTTTTTTGAGTTTCAATTTACGCAAAAATCGCCGTTAATTTCGACGTAATACAGTCTCTTTCGAATCAAAAATTTCTATAAACAATATATTTGTTAAATTTAGTTTGTACCATACGCGAATGGCTGAGAAGTTTCTTCAAGCATTTCCCTGGTAAAATAACAAATATTGAGACACACTGCTTCGTGTGCAACCTTCTCTGGTAAGATAACAAATATTGAGACATGCCGTTTCGTATGCAACGCAATGATGTAATTTGGCGCTCTGATTGCGAATTCGTTTGGAAGAAGTTGGATGCCTATCATTTGGCAAATATTTATGCATAATGTTTGAGAAAGACTATGTTGGAGCAATGCGGTGTTGGCATAGTGTAATATTAAGTTTGCCCTTAAAACGATGAGCACACGTAGAAAACATGGAAAAGGTGCGTTTTCTTACGTTTTCCGTGCTTGGAATGTATAAAACAACTACAATCGTGGTTTAGATGGAGAAAGATAAAAGCAAGCAAGCGTAGAAAATGTAGCTAAAACGTCCAGGTGTATTGGTGCATTGTGGATGCTCAGACACCAAAATGCAGTGAGATGTGCGATTTATTTTGAAACGAGATAAAATTGGATCTTGAATTCTACAGAAAGGGACCCATCAACAATCGAAAAATTGTTGGTTGCCTTCTTTCTGTAGAATATAATCCGATTGAGGCGCAGCTTCGAAAAAGCAATCAATACACTTATTGTATTCGTATCTCCTTTTGAACAGAAATTTTTTCCAATGTTAGATTCGTAATGTTCGCTTTTATATTACAACAATGCGTAACGTTAGCACGAATTTCGCGTGATGAATGATCACAAATTAACAGCGAAAAACCTCAATCAATTATTCACATAAAATTTCACCTGCTCTTATTGTAAAATTCTCATTTCTTTGTAAATATAGTATAAAAATTGTAAGAAGATTTGTAAAGGAAATATTTTCATATTTCACTTTAAAACATTTTCCAAGTTCAAACCTAAGCGGCCTAATCGAAAATGCGCTATTCGACATGGCAGATATCGTAAAGGAATGGCAGCTACGTGCCTCCATTTTATCGCGATCCCTTGCTGATTCCCTGCTGATTGTCGATGGCTGCGATAGAAAGATTACGTATAGCAAAAGGAGAAAATGCTCCCCGATAAGGGCGATGGTCGACGTGCGATCGGAGAAAACGGATTTCCGCGACGCCTGCACGATCGACAGTTCGTTAGTCACCGACCTAAGAGCGCCGATAATTACTCCGCCATCCGTGCACCACGAGGTCACTCGGATGACGCGGTATCGAGGTCAGCTGAGCGTTTTCCAGCACAGAGAGGACCACGGATCTCTGAAGGACGGAATACAACGCTCTAATATAGATGAGACACGTCGAGTAATGGCGCGGCGGGTGGTTTATAGTCAAACAACCTCCTCAGCAGCCTTGTTCGGCGATACTAGTGATGTTATCTAGTTGACAACGCGCTACTATAACCAGATGTAATCTAAGTTTAACAGAGCGTGAAGCAGCGAGGAGTGTGCGATTTAATACATCCACAGTGCCGGAGTAGGGAAATACAAAGCAAACAGTATAATTTTAAATGTCGCATAACGTATTTTCTTATCTTGGACTTTTTCTTTGTAATGCAATAATTTACGCGACAATAGAAACCTTCTTCCTACAAAAATTATACTTAATTCGTTGTACTTTCCTACTTGTAAGCAAGGACATGTGCAATTTACTTTTTTTTTTCTTTAAATTTTTCAAATTTTCTGACGACAACTATGCGTGTGTGTCCAACTACTTTTATAGTAAATGATGAAAAAATGATGAAAATGATAAGAAAATTGAGTCCACATAGCTGTTGGTAAAAATTAAAATAAAAAACTGTACTTTATGAAAAAAGTCTTTGTTAGCGAGTTTAATTATTCATAGTCTAGCATTATCTACCTACCTATTGTCCGCGGCATGATTAAAAGTCTTTATTTTCATCCCCGCTACATACAGATTAAATTATATAACAAAAATATTCAGGATAAGTCAAATTATATGGTTCACCCTGTACTCCACGAGTTAATGTTCCGTCCGACAGGCACGCGAAAAGAACGTAGAATCGCCTTGGCGTAATAATAACAATTAAGATTTTAATTATTTTCGCGGCCCGCTGTGCGACATACGTGTATGATGAGTTATTAATCTGAAACAAGGCGCGCGCGCGCGACGACGTGATAGTATTTACGCGCTCGTTATTCTCGCTCGTGGAAGCGGCTATCGCGTTAACACATTACGCGGAATTCTTATAGCGGCTCGACATAGCCATTTGTGCGATGCGACACGCGATTACAAGTAATTACACCTCGCGCGTGTCATGAATATTTACGAGCGCAGTTTTTAAAGTTTCGCGTTTTAGTTTAGTGCGTCAACAGCTATCGAGGAAAACGATTTCAATATGCTTCGCAAATAAGTTTCCAAATATGATGTACATAATATGTAAATATGAAAAAACTCTGCTCTGCTCTGCTCTGCTCTGTTGCGGAAAACGATGACAACTTTGATTAATAAAAATTAGAAACAATCATAAAATATATTGTTGTCAACTTTATTCGATTAAAACACGATCTACTTTTAGCATTAATCTAATTTTTTTCACCTTATTATAATTAATTACCACGGAATAATTCACAAAATTGATTCTACCAATTTAAAGATATTTATATTCATAATTATTCCAATCTTGTGATTACAAATATTAAATGTTGAGTTAAGGAGAAGTTATTCGTCTCCAAATTGTATCATTGATGGATTATAAAAGAATAAAATAGTTGTCATAAATTATGCTCCAGCTGTGCAAAATAAATTACAAAATGGCGGTATTCGAATTCAACTTTGTCAATTTCAATATGAAACTGTGAATATAATCTTGTTTGAAAAAATTGTGAAATGTCTGCGGTAAGTAATATCGCAATTCTACCTCCATTTTGATCTATTTTAGGTTCGCACTAGAGATAGAAAATGAAACAGTGTCCTATATCTAAGCACTTATCTTTATCGTCATTCGTATAAATTGACACGAGAGACAATCTCCCGCAACGAGAGTTAATCAATTCCGCCGAGACACAATCGATCCCTAGATATATAACGATACATCATCGTAATTACTTCTTCGCAATTACATTCCGCGGAACATATTAGCATTTTGACACTCTGTCGCTGCGAATAATTCATACCGCGGCAGTGGTTAGTGTCGCCTATGTATCAGACAGGACCGAATATCAACGCACCGACTATTATATCGTATTAAGTCGTTAGCGGCTCAGCTGCGCACGCGGCCCGAAACGAACAAGAAAATCGCGTGTCCCATCGTAAACTTCCACCCGGCGGTACAAAGAGCCGTGATAGACCGATTGCCCGTAATGGTCCGCTTCGTCCTCGTAATTCCGCTTGTCGTTCTTGTCGTGTGCTAGTCGCAAATTGAAATTCACGGTGGCCGCCGGGGCCAAATGCGTCCGCCCTCCACTCATCCGCTTTTCAGCGCTCACAGGCCCGCAGCAATACGGTAAGCAAGGTAAGCGTGAATGCGTGCCGCCACGAAATGCGAAAAATTTAAAGCACGTCGCAGAATGGAAAAATCGAGAAATGAGACATGAAATTAAAAATATTATAAAAAGTTGATGCTAACAGAATCGCAAATAAAAGACTTTTCACTTGCGAAATAAAGTGCCTGCAAAATATGCTCGATAAATAGTAGTGTAAAAATTGGATTTTAAAATTTGCAACAAAAAAAATAGAAGAGGTACAGACATATCAATCAGTTTACGTGCTGTAGGTGTCAGAGAAATACATTATCGTGAATGTCAGAAATTATAATGCTTGCACTAGACGTTTATCGTGTTTGTTTAACCACTCATGTGAAAAACACTCGTGTAAGATGCTTGAATAATGTCGCTTCACTATTCGCGGTCGGTTCGCGAAGCGGGCAATTGCCGTCGAATTAAATCCAAAATTAGCGCTTGTTTATCACTTCCCGCAGTGTCATTTATCTTGAATATTTACGTTTCATTGGCAAACAAAATACCTGCATAACGTGCACTGCATTATTTATACAAAGTACTATGTCGCGTATTTTTCTAGCATAATGAATTTCATACATTTAATGTAAACAGAATTTGATTTCATATCCAGTGCTGTCAATTTCACGAGAGAATCCTCGAAATATCGAAGATACTCTACATAATCGTTCGATGGTTTGGTTTCGTAACTAAAGATCCATGCAGACAGTTTTTTCACGAAGCAGAAATAAAAAACTCAATAAATTTGCTGATATCTGTTGATACACGCTCACACTTCTTGCGATGTCAAATAGATAAATCAACAAATCACTCCTCTATTGGCCGTACCTAAAAGCGTACCGCACATGATTGAAATTATTGAACGCCAGGGTAAATAAAGCTCCGAGCGGTGCGCATTGCCGCGATTGCAAATTTTCACAGGACGCGAAATCGATTTTTCCCACCTCGTGTGTCTTGGAAATAGATACGCGGGGGGGAGGGATGGAAAAATCGGGATCAGATCCAAATTCGGTGTGCGTTTACGGGTGAGCGCGCGTGCAAAATTATCCGTGGCCGCGCTATCCGACATTAATGGCCGACCTATTTGCATATCGCAGTTTAAGCTGCGCGAAGCGGTTATTCCGCTTTAATACCACACTGAGGGCGCATATACTTATCGTCCTTTATAACTCCAAGAATATAATGTTTGTCGGAAATACTCTATCTCGCAGTCGAATTCTTAGCCGCAATCTCGGCGCGAGAGTAAAGTAAACTTGAGCGCAATCGCGCGAATAAAACCGTCCCGCGGCCGCTATCGCGATCCTGATCGCTGACATACGGTTTCTATGGCACTCAAACGATCTGTAATTACAGGTGCGATTCCGGAAAGATGATACGCGACTACCTGATACTGCTCTCATGGCTCTGCGCGGTCCAAGGGAAAATAGGTAAGTATCATCCGACGAATTTACGCGGACGAATTCAGAATAACTTTGTAAATTTAAGACGCAGTTCTTGTTTACGTACTATAATTGTGCAATTTTAAACTCTCTATAAAAAAAATATAAGAAACTAAATATATGACGGTTTTACGGTTCACCCAACGCCTGCGGGCTATCAGACAACCTGGCTATCGCTTAAGCGCCAAGTTTCTCAAGAGAAAAATTTCCCAGCGTTATATAATAGGCCGGGAACGGCGGCAGATTCCCGGAGCGATTCTACCAACTACTTTAGTAGAATAGCAAATAGAGGTAGAAGTACACCTCAAATTCATTACTATCCGATTTTTGTGGTATAATCGTAGCAAGTAGGAATCAGATGAATGCCTTTCATTATTGTCCGCTCTCTCGCCGGAGAGAGCAAGATTGCGCTGCGTGAACTCACATACGACTGTCACAGACTAATTAACAAATTTGTTATCTTAACGGACTGTTTGTATTTAAACATCGTTACATTTGCGGGAGATACGAATAACGTCTGTTATGAATACACGCAAAAATATTAATAATTATTCATATAATAAAATTTCATTGTTATACACATGATAAGCTTTAAAGAATTTTTTTATATTAATAATTATGCGCATAAATAATTCCAAGTGTTTTTTTATGGAGAATTAAAAATTACGTTCATCAATGCATCGAAAAAGTATAAATATCGTGTTAAAAAATGGAAAAAATGGAATTACGTATTGCAATAGCATTGCATGCACATAAATGCACAATACCAGCAATGAGAAATAAAGCTAATAACAATTTCTACAAATTAACATTAGAATATCTTTTCATATCTAGCACTGTTTCCAAAGTGCAATTGGTTCCACTATCATGAGACAATGCGTAGAGAGCTTCACCTGTAATAACGAAAAATCTGCCGGGACAGCAAAATTTCCATCTGTGAAACGAGTTTCGCTATGTGCACCGCAGCATTTTTTTCGTGTAGACAAGCGAATATGATCTCTATGTTTATTTGTGACAATGGAAGTGCAGCAATTGGTGTGAGATACATTTTTCCATATCTACGGTAGAAAAAATTGAACTCACCGATATTATTTGCGTTTTAGTTTCTGGATCATTCAACGAATGACCTCGAATAACCATGTATTAAATTTTACAGATCAAAAACTTATTTAAAGAAATATAAAAATAGCTAGCTTTTACATATGTATACAAAACCACTTAATAATAGTATTTTATATTTTGCATTATTCTACACTGACAAATAAGTTTTTTGACTTTGTGCTACGTTTGTGATCATGTACAATATTATTTTTTCAATGATATGCGATTCAATTGAAGTTAGAGAGTGTTCGATTACATTAAGCACTAAAACGTGTGTTCATGTAATATTGAAAATTTTAAAACGATATCTAGTACTTTACGCGTTCAGCGATTTCCATTCTTTGTCATTTCCAGCCACAATCGGGATAAAGGATCTCTTTTTTGCAGGATATTTCTGGCATATCACCGACCTTCATTACGATCCAAAGTATTCTACTCAAGGAAACACTGCCACTAGTAAGTCAACGGGCGGTTTTTTTTACGATTTTGCATAAAGTCACTCGCTTTTTGAATTTTATCGGAATAAATTAAAATATTTTTGAAAATATCTAGACTGCATAATTTCGAAAAAAAAACTAATTTGCATGTGCCTACTTGGAAATTTAAAAATCGAATATATCAAAACAATTTTTTTATAGCTATCTTGATGTATTCAATTCTGTTTTTATATAGCTGAAATTATAAATCGTGTCGACCTAAAAAGGTTGATCACGTAATTGTTAACGAATTTTTTCATTTTATAATATCTCATCCAATTTCACAAAAGTCTCATTCAGTCGTTCATACGAATCTCATCCTATCAAATCACATCGTGCCGTCGCGAAAGATTACATGATAATAATTTCGCCAAATTTACGTAAAAATTTTTTATCTTTTATTTTTTTTCGCTCTTAGAAAAAAATATACATGTGATATATATGATCGGTCTTTTGATACAAAATGTGAACCTTAATATTACTGCCCCGTATCGGCACTGCCAGATGCCTCGAGGTACAAACTTTTCCGAGCGTTTCATGAAAATTGCATAAAACACATATCAAACAAAAAAAGTATTCGCGTTACATATTTTGGAGATTATAAAATTTCGTGAAAATTTTCACAAAATATTAATAAATTTGAAGCAATATATAAATATTTTATATTTTAGATTTATATGAAATATCTACATATAAAATATTTATACACGATATATATTTTTCTTCCCTCATAAAAATTTTCGTATTAAACTGTAAATGTTTTATTTTGGGGAAAAGAGCTTGATGGGGACTGTGGTTTCCTCTGATTTTTTAGTACACGATGGGCCGGTTCAAATAAGCTGCGAGCTTTAACGAATACACGCCTCCGAATCGTTACACATTTCATTTTCCGACAATCGCATGAGCGTATTATTATCATTCCTCTAATAGGACGGCAAAACTGTTATTTACTGGCTTCCCGCGCCGGTATTTACCGATCGTTTTAAAGTACCTAGCGTGTTTGACTGGCACGAGACTTGCACGAAATAGCAACGGCTTAAATTACCACAGACCTATTCCCCAGTCTATCCGACCTACCTACCGCCATCTTATTAGGCCTCGTGTCATTTGGACGTTAGCGGTCGACGACACGAGCCTTAAGCGCGAGTATGCGCGACGTCATCGTTCTCTCTGTCCCACGCGATGCGCATTTTATCTCACTGGTTCCCACGATCGTCGTTTTTCCCTCCCTCGCAATCCTTCCATTTAACGTTGCTCTCGGATGGCCTCTCGTGCACGGATCCCGTTTGACCGTTTGTTTCAGTGTGCTGGAACACGAAAAACAACGTCGACGGCGTAGGACGGATAAGGCTCGACAGAAAACTAGCGGGCAAGTTTGGCGACTACAACTGCGACTCGCCCTGGGCTCTGATCGACTCGGCGGTGCGGGCGATGAAATCGAAGCAGGGCGGCGAAGGGATCGAGTTCGTCCTGTGGACGGGGTAGGTCGATACGCTTCATCGGTTAACGCTTACTTTGCCTCTCATCGTGATCGTAATGTCCGAGAGAGATTTTGCGGACAATTCACTACTTTTTCATTGTTTTTAATCAGAATACAAATAATGAATCAACAGGAATCAGAGAATAACAAAAATTATTTATTAATTCATAATTCATATCGATGTCTATTTTCTTTCGCATATGAAGGAGCGTTTCATTGTTATCATTAATATTATTGTTATTATTTTAAAAGCCTCTTTCTTTCATTTTATTGTTACTGCCATTATTATTATTATCATTATTAGCTTTGTTATTATATCAGTTATTATCATTGCTATCATTATTACTAATTTATATTACCTATTTGGAATTTATGAAAATATTCAGCGCCTTTACAATAGTCAAACGGTATATGACGCGCGCTACCGTTAATAACGATTGTTGTTAAATGAATCATTAACGTATTAATTTATTCATGAGGCCTCATTTATTATCAATAAAATTGTAAACAAAATCGAGTTTGGAGACCGGCGACTTGTTAATTCAGTTAATAACGCAATGTGTTGAATTTATTACCGTTAAATAAATTTACTTTACGAACGATTTACTAGCGTGGAGGTGTGCGACTTCCAATTAATTACAGGAAGCGAAGAGTACAGTACCACTGACCGGTATAAATCGCGTCCACGAGCAATGGCTTTCTGGCCACTTAGCGTTGCTTCGCTGAACAATTATCGAGGAACGCAGACGCAAAGGAACACAAGTAGCAAATGCTAAAATACGATGTATGTGATGTAAACTATGTGAAATAATTTCAAATAGCGTAAATCCAGTTTTGAAAAGTTATAAATTATAATTTCATTACATTTGATATTTTAAAAATTTGAGATAACATTTGCTCCATTTTCACATTAAATTTAATTCGTACAATTTAATATTAAAATTATAGCTGCTTTAGTTAATAATTTGATAAAACATACAAGCGTCTAAAATTGTTTTTCAAAAATGAAAGTTGAAGATAAATTTGTATCAAATTTTTTATGATCTATACACATAATTCAGTGATCTCTCTCTCTCTCTCTCTCTCTGTCTCTCATTCATGTCCTTTTGCATCCATTTTCTTTGATCTCCATTGTCGAAGCGACAAGAGCGAAGCAGCAGCGCGGCTTAATCAGTTGATGTTGACGCGGCAATTATCAACGTTTTGTTCGGATGACAACGCGTACGCTCGATCCCGTCGTCATCATCGTCGTCCTTGTCATCGTCGCGGCGCGGTGCGCCGCCTCATTTCGCGTGCCGATGCTACGCGGCGCGACGCGACGTGTCCTTATTCCGCGACATTTCCTCTTCCTCCGCTGTATTTATCAGCGATAATCACTGGCACTCGCACTGTAATCTCCGGCGTCGCGCATTCTATGTAACCGGGACTAACGAGGCTGTAACTACTTGTTGCAGTGACGCGCTGACGCGCACCGCTGGCATGAACGCCGAGCAGCGTCTGCAGTGTTTGCGGAATCTGACCGATCTGTTGCACCGCGCGTTCAAGGGACAATTCGTGTTTCCCGCACTCGGCCATGAAGACATGGGCGTGAATTACACGCAGCTCGCGAATCTCTGGCAGCATTGGCTACCACCGGAAGCGGTGGACACTTTCGTGAAGGGTACGTAAGCAAATGTCATGTTATGAAAACATCGAAAAACAAATTAACAAAAAATGGTAATTACCGAATTGCGATGGTTTTGTTTCGGATTAATATTACACGATTATATTGCATCGTAAATAGCTTAATCGGATAATCTGAGCGGCAAGAAGTACCGAAAGTACTAAAGTGTAGGGCATACTTCGCGATACATCCATAATATAAATGTATCTGTAATATTATGCATGAAACGTTGTACCGTAACATATTAATGTTCAAAAAGAGGCATCTTATATACCGTCCCGAGAGCTGCATAAATGATCGGTGAACGAGGTTCATGCCGCTCTTTGATTCGAAACGCGCGCAACGGGTCGATGTAACATTTATGGGTGCCCTCTCTCTCCCCCTCTCTCTCTCTCTCTCTCTCTCTGAAAATGTTACGGCACAAAGTAAGCTTATTGGCGAGTATAAATTCGCTCCGGCTTTACCGCCACGGCACTATTCAAAATTTGTTGCAGCCGGCTACTATACGATCGAGCAGCGCTCGAAAAAATATCGGATCGTCTTCCTTAATACGAATTTGTGGCTGAACCCACTCGACAGCCGTATGCTGCATCGTGCCGGAAGCAGCACGGTCGATAACACGCAGGATCCCTTCGGCCAATGGTCCTGGTTCCAGTCGGTGCTCGAGAATGCGCGGAAGAAGAAGGAGGCGGTAAGGTTGATCCTGTGCAATACCTATATGATATTATTGGTCTTTCTCGAGTCGTACTATTACTGTGCGTCGCAGACGCATCCTTTTTTCCTCCATCGTATTGTTGTATTGCCACGGATATACGGCGACGAAATAATTCCCGGCGTCTCGCCGTATCAATAAACGATTTTATTGATTTTCATCGAATAAGGGAAGTGCCGCAGGAACCGGTAAAGGCGTGTCTTGTGGTTTCAACGCGGACGGGAAATAACGTCAATGTGAGGAGAGGATGCGAGTGAAAATCGAGGACTCGATACTAATTCGACCGTTCTGGGTTCATTCCTGTTTGAACAGAGACCGTCGGGATAATGGAATTTTCATCTTTTAATGTATGTGTCGTGTTATTTTGCCGGCGATATCGATTCTTGAAACCGTAGCTCTTCAACAAACGTGGAACTAAATTAAGCGGAAGTATCCGATGAAACTATCTTCGCACGTAATTTGATTTCAAAACGAATATCGGCCTCGCGCTCGCGTAAAGGTCGCGTTGAAATTTTTTGCGTCCACTGAATTGCATACGTGTGCGAGCGCCTGTCTCGTACAAATTGCACGCGACGTCAAAAGACGTCGGAGCAAGGAATTTTTACCTGCCGTCAATTTTCCTGGATCGATGAAAACGGACAACAGCGTTTCGGATGTAGAATCGTTTGCCGTTATTGCGCGCACAAATATAATCAAGTTTTCTATTTAATAAAATCAATTATCGATAAAACCGATTAATCAAAAATTTTAATGCGGAGATTGATTGATTAAATAAGCACCTAATCGCGAACATTCAATGTTTCTCAGCGCGTTTTAATATAAAATTAAGTTTATTTGGAATCTCGTAACGTAATATCGTAATTTAAATATTCATATTCATTCTCGTATTTAAAAATATGAATAAATTCAGAACAATTTTGGTTACATTTAAAAGATTAAATATGAAGCTAAGAAATAATATCCGTACGATATTAAATTAAATCACATTAAAATACAATTTAAAAATTTCTAATAGCAATAATAAGAGAGATACACGTAAAATATAAATTTATGTTTCTATGCAAATATTATAGATAAATAGTACAGTTTTATTTCTACTTCATAAAGTCTTATTAAACGATTAACTTGATAATTTAATTAAATTTATTCTGCATGTAAAATATCGCGATAATTAAACGTGTTAACACAAAAAACACTGTGTAAAGTTAAATATATGCTAACAAAGTTAAGATTTCTTTTTTACGTGAATACGTTAATTACCTGCCCATCGCGGGAAAACTTGCATGAAGCAACCGCTGCATGTAAGGGGTGAAGAGTAGTTGTTCTTTACACGTCCAATAAATTTCCAAATAGATTTTTAATCAGCGCCGCGGCGGTGTTGTTTTCCGCGGAACTTTGCCGGCGTGCAAATATTCGATACAAACTTTCATCCGGTCTAAAAACGACTTTGTCAGGCCCCCCGCACGATCGCGCTTATTGGAAAACACATTTCGCAAACTTTCCTCAAGAGATTAATACAAGAACTTGGGGCTCGCGCGCAATGTCGTTTCGCTCGACAAATATTCCATTTTTCTTTTCGCGCGGAATACACTGCCGTTCGATAATGATACACCCGCGATTCCTTTAAATAAAATCCAGACTTTCTCGTGTCATATTTAAACCTTTGATGCACGTTGACTGATAAAATGATAGATTGACTTACCGCGGGTATAACAATAGTTTATACACCGAGTTTTATATTACTTTACACCAGGCAGTGAATTCTCGCGATTGCTCGCGCTATCAGGCTCGCCAAACATCGCAGAATTATGGCAAATGTTTCGCCGAGTAAATATGCAGGTATAAAGCACTCCCAGGTATCTCGCGTGTCACACGACAGGCTGAGTAATTGAAGGGTACCCATGCAAAGGTATTTACTCGGAGCTTCGCAGTTTATTGTGTTTTACAAAAAAGAAACGTTACAAGCCCAAGAACTGGCAGGTATTAGGGAAAATTTAAGACGACGATATTACTCTCATCCTACCATCGCGCAACGCGCGATATGTTTTCCTTTTTTCTTTCTTGTTTCTCTCGCTCTTGTTTTTTTTTCTTTTTTATTTCAAGAGCGAGATCTATGATACACACGTCAACGATTACGAGCAATTAAACTATCGTGGCATATAGCGCATTTCGCGCTGTCGGCCTGTCATATTAAAACCCTAACGCAACACAGATGCGATCATCAAGAAGATAAATTTTAATGAAATAAATTCTCGCAGCGCGTACTGGCATACGAGGTGAATAAAATCCCGCTGATCGGCCGCTTCAATGGAATGTATGATTTATCAAGCGAGCTGTTGTCGTCATCGCTTTCGTTTCACTTCGTTCACACGCTTATAAATTATGGCGCGCGACTATACGTGTTCGCTGGACTGACGGCTGACACATCACGATTCTCGAATTTCTCGATCGCGCTTTGGTTCATTATTTGGCTTATCTTATCGACTCTCATGGCACATATCGACAATTCTGCTTTAGAGGCTTTCGCTGCAGAAATTTATAATCACACCTAACCGGATATTCTCGCAAACGGACGTAGCAAATTGTATAATCGTGTCGCAGATTCGAATGCAAATCGCGCAAGATAGAGAAGAGCCACTCTCTATTCCCGATGAATACTATTTCTCTCGGATCCCTTTTCGACGTATTGCGCTCCCTCTCCCGGTCCATTAAAGCGCGATGACAAATCGTAATGCCCATTACGCCCGGCGGACGCTCAATATATATCGGAGATTCGCCGTGCGATCCGGCGAGAGATGAAGGGGGACGATCGGCAAATTTATCCTCTTCGATCAGCGGGGCAATTAATTGGGCGCGTCTGCTCTGCGCAAAAGCCACGTCGCGCGCGGCTGGCTGGCTCGGGGTATCGCGCGGGAGCGAGCGGAAACCTTCCAAGTCGGGACCTATCGAATATCGCGCGGTTCCCGGGGTTATCGGTTATCGATTACGCCGCGGGGTGTGTGGAACGAGTTCGACATACGCGAGGGAGATCCTTCACGCGACCGAGATGGCACGACCGACGATAAATTATGGAGAGACTTGGTATTCCATACACGGGGGCCGTGAGAGGAGAGACCCCCGTCCGTATAACGTAAACCGTTGCACGCCACCGCCATTGATCCCGATCGTATTAACCGGCTGCGAGCGCAGCCGGGAGAGCGCCGAGCCGTCGCGCGTTTATCCACGACACTGTCGATGCATTCACCTACGTGCACGTTCGAAAAGGCATACAACCCTGTTACCCCGCGATGCATAACACTCCCACGGGTGGTAGCTCGTATATGAAGAGTGACGTTATTTTTCAGTATACCTCCGAGTATGTGGGCGAACAAAAAAAAAGGAAAACGCGGCTTGAATCTCTAATTCGATTCTGTACGACCGAAATTGTCCGACTTAGACTTGTCACTAAATCCCTTCGTTACTCTCGTCGCGTATTTAGAATGATGTGACTATTTGAGTCTCTCGCATTATGCAGGATGTCCTTTTAATGAGAGATTCTTTGAGCAATTTAGAGCCGAGTTTTCCTCGGCAAAAACGTCGAAGGGAGTAATTATTTATCGCAACTTTTCAATTTCCGACATCATATATCATTTTAACTAAGCTTTAAATTGACATTCTATTAAGGTAAAGTCCACTTGACATTCGCTAAAGAATATGACTCTGTTATTTATGTTCTCTCGAAGCTTAGCTCGCAAAAAGCTTTTTTCAATTGCTTATAATTCAATTCGTCGACTTTTCACCGAGGAAAAACCAATTTCAAATTGATCAAGCAATCTGTTATTAACTTTATATTGATATCGAAAGAAGAATACAATTTAAAGGAATTTATCAATATTGCCTTCGTTCCCCGACTATAGTTTATCGATTATTCCTCGTTGATTCGACGAGTTTTAAGAAAAGCCGCAAATTTTTGAAAGAAAATAAGATTAGAAGGGCGATCACAATTGAGTAATAACGTATCTCGTGATCAGTCTCGATAAACCAGCTATATTCGCTGCTCGATGGGGCTGTGCCCGATATTCCACAGCCTCTCTCGGGAGACTCTTAAAGACCCTCTCTCTCTCAACCTCCTCGTTATCTCTTTCCCGGAAAGCTCTCAGCGCGGATCAACGAGCGTGGAGGCAAAATAGCCGTCGCACGGATAGCTTCTCTTCAAAGCGATGAAATGACCGGTAGGATAATAACAATCGGAAAATGTAGCGAGCACGGCTCGTTGGTTGCGACTCTGATAACCAGCAATAATTCTCCTTCTACCTATGCTCTTTCGATGCCCGCTCGATCGCTCCACGGACGCGCTCTCCGGGGATTTCCGGAAGAATTCTCGGAAAATCTTGTACGTCCTTATGTGTCTGGATAAAAAGAGCGCGGACGGAGACAGGGACGCGAAAAAGGGGGATGGCGAGAGCGAAATACAGGACCGAGATAGAAATCCGATTTTCCGTGGACAGATATAATCCGGCCGTCGGTGCGCCGCGCTTCGCAAACGGTCCGAGCCGGCTTCTCGCGATCCCGGCATTCCCGTAGAACGGAGCGACGTCGCGATGTGGCAAGCGGACGTCCGGAAGAGAGCGGGGGGAGGAAGAAGAGGGATGGATCGATCGATCGTTCTCGACGTCGGCCGGATAATGCGATTACAAATTACGAGCCGTTTAAGAGCGTCAGCGGGCAAAACTGACCAATCAGCGAGCCATTGTAACCCGGTGCAATTCGTTCGTGCCGCCCTTGAATGGCAGCCCGTGATTCCTGCACCTTCGGCAAAAGCTCGCCCACGGCGGCAATTTAAAATCGACGTCTGTGCGCTTTTCGCGCGATATTTTTCAATCTCGCGGCACACCGGCGCGATTCGGTTGTTTGCGGAGAGTGCACTTTTTTGCTCACTTTTTTTGCGAGGGCGGAGGCCGAGCGTTTTTTGCGTTTATTCCGCGGACCGCAGCGCGCGGCGCGATGGCCCGTCACATAATTCCAAACGCGTCGCTATCATTCAACCGCGAGTTTCGCGTCCCCGCGACCGCCTGGCATTTACCTTTCAAAGGAGCGAGCTTTCTCCTCCCCCCGAGTGCAATTTTATGAGAAACGAATCCACCCCGCGAATTGAAAACGTATCTATTACTTTCTCTCTATCTTTCGTTTCGCCGTTATCCACTTAACGAGTTTTGCTCCATCCATTCCATTATCTTGGTTGGAACGGTCCTACGAGAGTATCGCTATGATTGGGTCGTTCCAAGTGCCATCGACATACTCTGATTCATCGCAGGTACGTGTCAGATGTCATGTCAATAATTCTCACTACCATTGACGATACAATCGACACTTACCTGGTGTCGCCGTGCTGGTGGTCACGTTGATCATTTAGAAACGCCCGCCAGTCATCGTAGAAAAAAAAAGAAAAAAGCACGCATTTAGTAACTGTATAAAAATCATTTGTGCACGACAGATTAATTACATTTTCTGAATAAAATAAAATTATTAATATTGTAATTATTAAATTACAATGTTATAATATCATAAATATTGTAATTATTAAATTATTAAATTAACGCGACAGGTTTGTTAGATATATATAAATATATTTGTAATAAATACAATTAAAAACAAAATTATATATATAGTATCAAAGTGATTCTTATTAATCAAAATCAGTCATTATTTCAATTAATGAAATATCAATTAATCAAAACAGTCATTATTAGCTTGATCATTATTTCTGATTATTCTTCGAGGATATTCCTTCGGTAATCAAGGACATTTTCGGGTATTTTTTCAATCAGGGTCCTCCTCTCGACGCTCGGCACCAACCTCCGCGTTAATTCGCACTGCCAACCGGTGGGACTAATTTCGCGTACGTGTCCGATTAGATATCTAGTCCTTCGTATCCAATCCTTCGTCGTCGCGACAGACACCATGATCGAACGAGCAATGTATGTATATAATATGTATACGTGGGTGTGCGTATGTGATTGTACACAAGTATGTGTGCAACAACTCTGCCATTCGCGAGCGACCGGCCGGTTTGCCGACGCTAACGAGACTTCCTGCGTCCCGGGAGACACATTGCGTAGCCGCGTACGTGATTCACCCCGAAGCGACTGTTTAGTCAGGGTGCAGTCACGCGACATAACTAAGGGTTGCTGTTGAATGAGAATGCCACCGCTCTTTGGCTACGGGCATCGAACGAGAGCCGCTGATATTTAGCATCGGTATTCGGATATGAAACATCGAGACATTGATGGATTCGCGACGGAGTTATTTAGAGAGAATATTGACATTAATGTCCTAAGTAATTTAATCATGAATGTAATATCAATAAATATCACTAAAATTTGCTTGGTATTTGTAGCGCTAAGAGAGGTTATTAATAATATTTCGGGACTTTTAAATATATTTGGTAAATTTTTTTACTTTCCTGACTTCATCTAACTTGTAACTTTTTACAGGAAAAATAACTTGGTAGAGCTTGAATAAAAACGTGGGCAGCTTCGATCATAAAAGCGCAAGCGGTTGTATTCAAATCTGAAACAATATCTAGACTCGTCTTCAGGTGCCAATAACTTACGATAAAAAAAGACGATCCTATTCGGTGCATTTGGATGCATTGCCATTTGGAACACAAGGCGACGTCTAAAGATAAATTTAGATATATTGAATAGAGATAGCACTGTTACGTAACTAATAGAAAGAAGATATTAATACTTTTATCAATACTTTTATAGTTAAAGTATACGCTTCAAAAAATTAAAGATTATTAACAATAATAAGCCTACAGCAATGCAGGTACATAATACACATGAAAAATACTAAAACGACGAATACCATACCGATAATATAAAATTTTTGTGCAAAACTATTTCTCGAACTGCTAAATATCGATAAATTTAAATTTTTTTAAAAAGTTTCATTCAACTTTCATATTATACTTATCAGAAGATTTTATCGCGATATAAATACATATTATAACAGAAAATATTTCCCCCTTCAAATAACACAAACTGTCAAAGATTAATCAATGCGGTGGAAATACATCGATAGTGCCGAAAGAAAGACATCGAGTTCACATGAATGGATATTAAAGTAGAATAGATGACGGAACATCGACCTAACCCAACTATGCAGGTTTTCGAAATATCGATGTTCGATGCTCATTCCTATTCCGCTCTGTAACGGTCAGGTGTACATAGTCGGCCACACACCGCCGGGGATGGACGACCATGAAAGCGGCGCTGTGGCTCTCAACGAAAGACACAACACAAAATATCTGCAGGTGGTGCGGCTCTACTCGGACATTATTCGAGGACAATTCTTCGGCCATTGGCATTCGGATACATTCCGCGTTATTTACAGCGATACAGGTATGTCATGAGCGACGAATCACTAAATTAGACATATGCGAGACAGAAAGAAGAAGCGAGTCTGACAAAAAGATCAAAATAATTTTTTAAATAAAACTTCTGTTATTTGAGATAAGAATTACATTGTGCCTCTTTAACGCGTGAACTTTTTATTCATTAAAATTGATTTTATTTCAAAGAGTCATTTTTGATTATTTCTTACACTTATTTAATGCAGATATTTAATTGCGATATTCAATTACGAATAATAATAGTGAATTGCGCGATGCTATACACACATCTGTAGCAAAGTAATACCTCAGTTTCGAATATTTCTTTATAATATGACAATTTCTAGACGGGATAACAAATTGTGTGGCTATTTATCTTACTTTCTTGTCATGGTCACGTCAGTCCAGGGTCGAATAACCTCGACCCTCAGCACCGACCTTGTCTTCTGGAAGGTGTCTGTTAAATTGTTTTATTGCCTTCTTGACCATGGCAAAAAAAGGGAGCAGAGACACGTGTCAATTCCTCAACCGGATTGTTTATCAATTATTTATAATTTGTTTGTCAATTACTTATAACTTGTTTCTCAATTATTTTCGATCCATTATACCTCCTCCCTCGTCTAGATTCGTCCAACGTTTAGCGCTATTGCTTTATTACCTGTCGCTTTGACCTCAATATTATTAACACTCGCAGCGCATGATTAATTATAACGTGAAACGCTATTCGCGCTGAACAGGTTTGCCCGTATCTTGGATAATGATGGCTCCCAGCGTAACGCCGAGCACCGGCGGGGGGCCCAACAACCCGGGCTTGCGACTGTACAAGTTTGAAACTAACACCGGACAGGTACGTGGCGCGACGGCGTGTATACATTCTCCATAGTATCTCGTCGTTCGCATAACGGTCTATTTGCGCGACGTGCCGATTTCAAAGGGACGCAGAAATGTACGATATCCGCTGTGTGTATAAGTGTATATGTATATATGTGTATATTGCACGCTGCGCAGATTCTGGATTACACGCAGTACTATCTTAATCTGCCCGAAGCAAATTCGAACGGTAAAGCGAACTGGGCGTCCGAGTACTCATTGCTCGACTATTACAATCTGGATGAGATATCGGCGATCAGTCTTCACGATCTGGCGGACCGATTCACGCAGTCCAGCGATTACGCCTTCGTCAGGTATGCGCACGATGGATGCGAGATCGATCACGTTCTCACATAATGCACCGCCCGGAAACCGTAATAGCATTTCCCGTTAATTACACCAGACCTTGATTACGACGGTCTTAAGCCTCGCGTCTCGTGCCGCAGAGACATTTTTTTTTCAAGATAATCAATGGGCCCGACGAGGATGTGGAACAAATAACGCGTGTCTAAAAATACATATTGTTCGTATCGCGGTGTTAATCACAAAGCATATTACGCAAAGAAATAAGCGGGTGTATTTGCTACGTGCGATCGCCTATCGTCGCTATATGGTACGGTTTCATCTAACTACCGATCATTATACGAATATTTCATCATTACAACGTCGCAGTTGCTCAATGTCAACGCGTGGGACGATGCTATAAAGTGTTCGACGGTCGCGTGAGATACTCGATGCCCGCGTGCGCCGCCGAGAGTTAATAATTCTCGCGTTTCTCCGCGAGCCGGCAATTGTCTTCCACAATAATACCTCGCGACGTTTGCGATAACTGTCTACCCTTTTCGAGACGCGCGCGCCATTACAATGCTAATGACAATCCCGATGCACGACCAGTCTCGTATTCTCCTAATGTACAACCTCGGTCTCCCTCGGTCTGTATATTATCTTTCCGCATGCACACCCCGCGTCCGCTTTGCGGCGTGTGTGTGTATTTCCTCTGTCCTGCAGGTATTACGCGGCCAACACGGTCTCGTTGCCGCGCGAGGTGGAGCAAATCTGGGGCTGCGGCGGTCCGCTCAACGGAGTCTGTGCGCTGCATCATTACTGCACCGTTACGAGGCTCAATCCCGAGTCCTACAGGTATGTCAACGTGACGAAACCGCCGTGGCCTGATTCATTCGCGAACGGGGGCTACGGTTTGTCTCGATATAAGTGCAACTCTATTAGAGCGTGTATAGACGAACGGAAGAGTATTAGAGTACGCTTCACTGCTCAGAAAATTAATCACGAGAAAATATATTTATATTAAACTTATTTCACGAGAAAGGTACGAAATATATGCCCCACGGACAAAATTGAGTTTCGTATAATCTTCTTTAACGAGCGTTTCATTTTCGAATAACGTTCATCACCAATATATATATATATGTTGACTCTATTTCTTGTTTAACGTGCAATCTCCGGCTGAATTCTGACAACCGAATAATTTCAATATCGATAATAAACTCTCACGAACTTTTGTACATGGAAGAACTTTTAATTTGATTGCTGTTCTCTTTTGAAAACGCGCAGCAAGATGTATCGATCATTTAGATAATCCACGTTTACGAGACTTGGAATCTATCGAGTGTGCGGTAGGCTCTTGACATTAATTGGTTGCGTATACGTGAAGCGGATACCGATTAGATCGAAGTACTCTATAGCTAAGCGTGTCAGGCGCATTGCACTGCCCAAACGTAATGCATACATAACATTAATACGAGAGAGAAGTGATAAAAATTCGAAAGATTTTGACGATAAGTCTATTCGAAGCTCCTTAATTTGCATATCCTTAATACAATAATCAATAGTTTGCAATTTTCTGTTAAAAATAAATATATTTAAACTTTTTTTTAAATATATTTAATTAAAGAAATAGATCCAAATAGAGAATTCTATAATATCACATAATTTTCATATAAAATATTTATAAAAGTTTGCATAAAACATAGCTTAAAAGCTTTTCTGAAAAGCGTAAAAACCTAGAAAACGCTACCGTCATTTGTTAAAAGCTATAAAAAAAAATTAACATACACAGATTTCTCTTACATATTATATTGACTAATAATCAATATTGTTTCTCATTCCCCGAGATATGTTAAAAGTGCGATATATTAAAACAGAAGAGACAAAGGTTAAATCCCAAAAAAAGTTGTCCCGACCGTTTGAAATTCCTAAGTAGAGCAAGTCAGTAATACACGTTACGGACTAGATAAATGTCGGTACGAAGATGGATAAATGGAACGGTGGATAGAGAGGGATTACTGCACTTTTCAATATTCCAAAAGCGACGGGACGTCTTCGTAAATTAAGCACCGTGAAAGCCCTCGTAGTTTGAAAGCGTCATGTAATCTTGCAAAGTCTTGGAAGGAGCCTCAAAGAATCCGAAGATTTCAGAGAATTCTCAACGAGGCGGCTTTCGCGCGGTAATGTTTCGAAGTTGCGAGCAATTTCGCATTAGCCTGTGATGTTGCAACGCCTCACGACTGATCGTTTGCAAAAATAATCGGAACATACGGTCGCATAGATTTTTAAAGAGTGCCTTGCGCGAATCTTCTCTAACGTACGGGGCAAGAAGCATGCATTATGCATTAAGCAAAACGGCGATGGAAAAATATATTATTGATGGAATGGAGAATGCCCTTTTTTCTCGAGTCATCTTTTCACTCGCCCTCGATTCGACATTGTCGCGCGAGAGGATAACAAGGGCGCAATATCGAGTGGATGGCGCCTGCCCCGAGTCCGTCGCCAGCTCCGGAAGTTTGTCCCAAAACTTCCGGAGGTCGCGAAAGCGCGAAGCTTCCGGGACTTACAGCAAGATTCGCAGGCAAACCAAAACTTGGACTCTACCGACCGTAACGTAGATATACTCGTATATACGCAAGCACACATAACGATCGACTACCTGTTGTGATCGTATCGTATCTTTTTCTTCATCGCAACTATAATTTAAAAATATTTTTTACTAATTCAAATACATAGAGGCTAAATAAAACGATGAAAAAAAAGAACAGAGATACGTAAAGAAATAGAGTCAATTATTTCTAACGAGAGTCTGAGACGACATTTCTCACTCGATGCAACTTTTTCGCTAAATCGTCAGATATTTTTTCTCATTATAGAATATTCTGTACATGCATATATGTTGTGCTCTCGCAGGGAATGCTACTCGTTGTACGCTTACGCCCTGGCGTCCACGGGAACCTACACTGTGCGTCTCTACTTCGCGCTGCATCTGCTAATCCTACTGATCTGCGCCGACGAGATCCTGAACAACCGGTAGGATGAACGGGACGAGAGAACTCCCGGTAGTACGGGCTACGCCCCGCGTCGGCTCTCCACGACTACGGTCTGCGTTTTCTCCCTGGCAGAATCCGATCGGGATACATCATCGTCATTGATCGGCCGCGGATCGGATCGGTCTAGGAGCGGTCCACGAGTTAAGGCGAACGCGTCTAGCGATTACGACGTTCACGCCGCCCGGTGTGTCATCTACTTTGTCTATGTCTCTGTCGTGTCTCCGTCTTCTCCTTGTCGCGCCACCGAAATTGTTCAGGCGCGCGCTCTCGTTCCGTCGTGTTTGATGTTTGCGTGTGTTCGCCCGTGCGCGCGTTTTCAACTGAGGCTGTAAAGAATCCGAATTCCGGACAGAGATATACGGATACTCAAAAAACTCAAACACTGCCTCAATTCGACATTGAGATTGAGTAATTTGGATAGTATCCGCGTAATTTGGATAGTATAAGCATTCGAATAATTTTCAGTATCTCGGACAGTTCGAATAAATCGAATAAATTGAATAATTTAGATAATTGGTGTATTAAAATAATTCGAGTCGTGAATCTCGTATTCGTATTTATTCGAAATATCCGAATGGGGAAACTGGTTTTATTTGGCTAAATCAAGCACGTTGCTCAATAATTCTATCTTAAAAATCAATCAATTGGTTGTAAATAGAAATCACTTAAAAAGTTGATTTTTCGATAGCCAATTGTTTGTGTAATTGCTTAGATTTTTCTACTTTTTATATTTTTATGTGTATCGGAAAATAAAATTATTAGAATTTTTTTCTTAACACTCTTGGATAATTTTACTACAAATAAAATTCTATATACAGAATATATAAACAATTGATGTCATAATCTATAAATTCTTAGACTTTCAGATCTGTATTTATCAAACTGTTTCTATTTTATCTATACATAACGAAACATGGGAAATTATGAGCAATGTCAGGCTAATTCATCGAAGATCCAACCATCCCTAACTGAAGAACAAACTAAATATTTACAGCCCTAAGTTGCAAGTTATTCGCGCGGGAGTAATTTGCTGCGTTCCTTCGGCGCGATTGCAACGCCGTTGCAATAAAAAAGAAAAAAAAAGAAGATCGCGTCGAAATCATTCCTTTCGTCTTCGTCCGCAAGTTTCACGAGCTCTCGAGCATAAATCGCCGATCGTAGCGTCTCGCTCAGCGCGGCGATCCGAGTGTTTCGCGGTCGCGAAAACAATCCGGGGATGCGACGACCGCCCTCGGCGACGAGAGTTGGTAAAAACGGATCGAGGAAGTCCGTCGCGCCGCATTCCCGGATACTCACTGCCGGTGTGTCTCGCGGCACGCTTATATTCAAATGTAATTAAAGTTTTACACGGAGGACTTTTACGCCGCTTCGTAATCCAATGTCAAAACTCCGGAACACCGCGCTGGAAAACGCTCCGAGCAAAGTCGACGACTCGAGAAGGAGGCTGCGTCGAAGCTCTGTCATAGCTTAAAGATTATATTCGTACTACCATTTCGCGATATTGTCGGAACGATGCAGTATTTCTTAATAAAGGACTCATGGATTTGTAACGAGTGTTCTTTCTCATTCATCCACCGCTCCCACCAGCTTTTCCCTCCGCCGTCTCGGGACCCAGTTTCCGTTACATTATAAGTTTGGCCGTGTTTTCATTGCGATTCACCTAGACACGGTCTCCTTCAATTTCGTATTCAGAAGTAACAAGACTATCAAGAATCCAATTAAAATGCATTTTCCACGCGTGTCGCGACAAATTAAACACGGCAAACATTTTCCGTATCTACGTGAATACGTGTGATCGAGTTAAGAGATTATTACTGTAAATGACGAGAGATTTTACAGACCGGTTTGGAAACAGCATTCTCCGCCATTAAAAAAGTCATTAACAATTACGAAGGACGAAATCCGCGGAGCGGCTGCGGGCTTTTAAAAAGCAATTACGCTTCTAGATATTATTTCTCATGGCTACCGGCTGAACCCGCGGACTCTCTCTCTCTCTCTCTCTCTCTTTCTCTCTTGGTTCCGGCTCGTTTTCAGACTCCGATGAGCAGTTACCAGAATTCAGAATTTACTCGTATAACGAGATACAGCGAGGGGAGGGAGAGGTCTCAATTAATTCGCGCGGTCGCTACAGTTAGCAGGCTAACCCAACTTCTCTAAACGAGCTCCGGGGCTCGCGCACGTGGTGACAGCAAATATGAAGATAAGTCGTTCATTAACACGAAGGGAACATTTAGCGGAAAATGTGAGAATTTTGTTGGCGTAATGAGAGCCCGGGCTTACTCCGGCGATAAGGTTCGCCCGGCGGGGACGAGACAAAGATATCCGGAATATTCGCTGCCCAGTACATTCCCTGCTCGCTTATCCCACCACGGTAAGTATGCGCGGCTATGCGTAAACGTATGTGCACACTACAACGGGATTGTCCGAAACATAACTTAACGTCTCGTACGTATGTAGCTGCGCTCGCCACGGGTCTTCCCGCGGCTGTACTCTAACTACACAACTCTATTACACTCACATACGCATGTGTGCATGTGTGTCACACATAGTCATGGAGGATATCAACCACGTAACGTACATACATACGTCGCACATATATCGTGGAAGAGAGAGTAAGTCGCATATTCCCGAGGGATTGTGCGAATTCATCGCTCATCGCTGCGGAGAATCGCGATATCGCGAACATTGAGAATCTCCGCCGTACGTGTATATTTGCCACGTCACGTACGCCCCCGCGCTCGCCACTGTGTTTTGCATACGCACGCGACCATGTATCGCGAGACGCCTTCAAGCTGGCAAACACGGTTATAACGTTTGTATTGACATAAATCTTTTGCCCACTCTTCCGTACACGGTGAAATTACCGAGCACATCTGCAGCAGCAATGATACTACCATCAATACAGGATGCGGTAAAAATCGTAGTGCAAGCAAAAACAAGGTGATTGCTCGTGCAAAAATAAATAAAAAAGTATAGACTCCTGTTTCATGCGCTTTATTGATAAGCTTTATTAACTGAAGTAATAGGACAATTTTTTTGAAATTCGAAATATTAATAACTTTTGCAATTTTTCGAAGCATTACTTTGTACCACGATTTTCGCCGCTTTGTATATTTAAAATACCGATGTTGAAGCAACATTACATTAGATATTTTTTTCCGTAATGTAAATTTATTTTAAATTGTCAGAAATAAACGTTCGATGCTGTATCAATTACATCAATATTCACTGCATCGTGCATCAAACTGTTGATATATCAAAGTTGCGTTATTGACAAGTATTTTTTGCTGCGTCACAGTTTGAAAAATCACGAGCTTATAAACGCGAGCGCGACACTTGCTCTCTCGATTCCATCCCGACATCGAAATCCTTTTATAAGGGAGTTTGGCTCTTTACTTAATTCTTCTAATTCGGAGGCTGGGGAGTCGTGACCCTTCCTTGATTCCCAGCCATTTCCATATTTCTTCCGCTACCTCCCCGTGGGAGAGCGCAGAAACAACGGACGACGCCGGCGGCGGAAAAGTATTGTCGTAGTTAAGGCAGGCCGCCCGCGGCATACAAATAACGTAGTTTTCATAGCGCCCCAGCGCCGCTAACAATGAATGAAACGCCGGCGTCGTTATCATCTGCGCTCGGCCGGATAAATAAATACGACGGAGCTCACGAGAGAGACGAAGGATGGAGAAGAGAGCGATTTTTATTAGAGATACCGTTCCGCGCGAGCAAAACGGTCGCGCACGCGCGCACCGATATCGCTGAGATTATGGTCCAGATTTATCGTGTGCCTATAAATTCCAAAATATATATCCATGAAAAAACTATAATTCCATGGGGGTCTGAAATTGCTGGATTGAATATCGCAGAATTCTTTACCGCTTCCAAATATATACGTGGGCCGTGATTGATTCATGGATATTCAGCCGACGGTGTCGACGTGCCGCGGTGCCGCGAAATGGATTAATCGGACACGAGTGAGTATCCGGTGTTAAATATTGGATTAGCGCTCCATTCATTCTCCCGTCGAATCATTAATTATTGAACAAAAGCAAAAGATTTCGCGACAATTAATGCCCACAATAGAGCTACCTACGTTAAAACGGCAACGATCGACCAATCGACGCGGGATATAACGAGCCATCGGGTGTTGAAATGAACGAGACAGGTCAATGTTCAATCGCCGCGGCAAACGTTGCACCGACTCCATGCAACACGTGCATGCATTCCCCGTGCGTATTACACCACGCGGCAAAAACGGACATTTCAGCGCGCTTGTTGAGTACGTTGCAGTGATGCGCGTTGCTACACGCGCGGCATTTCCGGCCGGCGCCGCGAGTCGAGTACACCGAGTAGTCATTCGGCCCAGCGAAAGCGTCATCAAATCTTGTCAGCCACGGAGCCGTCAAAGGTACACAAAACAGGAACAACATGACGACGATGTTGTTTCACGCGCTACGCTCGTCCATGGTTTTTACCCTAAAACTCTACTGTTTTCACAGAATACATTAAATCGCAGCCAAACTCGCATGTACCTACATCCTTCGAACGAGGTAAATGTATATATTTTTTTGCACAACTGAATTTTACATTAAAAATCCATTAAAATAATGTTTGTTTGGAATTAACTAATTATGAGAAATATAATTTTGTCGCCCGTTTTCTCTTTTAAGGTGTAATTCGCCAGAAGCTGTTTTTAATTAGATATGCGAAAATAACGAGTGCCTTAATATTCTTATTCAGAGAGAATCTGTCCTAAAATATTTTTCCACTAGGTTTCGCAGCAATCTGCATATCAGTAAGAACTTTATTTTGAAAGCCAATATTTCGAAACCAAAATCTGAATATAACTCAAGCTACACAAATTGTTAGATATTATTACAGAAATCGCATTTATATATGAATTACAGCTGTGTTAAATTTAATATTGAAAAATCGTGTTTAATGCTAAAATACTCAGTTTTTTTTAACACACAAAGTGTTTTTTCGGGTTATTTCAAACTGTTAACAATACTAAATTAGGAAAATGTTCCACGTAATTTCGTTTGGAAAAGATGAAATATTCTGCTTCAGCTTTCAAAACTTTGCTTCTTTCAAAAACTTAGAGTGCATTCCCTCGTGCCGTTTTTTTTTTCATGTGACACGCATCTGTCTTATCAGCGATATAAGCTTTGTCGATGGTGACAGGGAAGGTGAAGCACGACGGACTGAATTTAATTTAAAACTTGAATTCCGCCGTAAGATTACAGAGGCCGGGGACGGGGTAAGACCAGTAATTAATTTGCGAGGATTACTTACCGGTAACTTGGCAAAAGTTGGCGGACCACCGCACCGCGGGATCTCCCGGTCACCAGCGGGACGGGACCTGTCTATACGCAAACTCATTATAACGGAATCTCCAATAATCTCGGAACGTCATTCGCGCTGAGCTGGCCGGCAAACGCGGCGAGTTATCGTGTTAACGCTCGGTGTATACGGGCTATCGACTGTCGCCTGGTTGTAGGATAAAGTAACATCTAGTACGTATCTCGGTGTGAAGCGTGTATTACATACGCACCTACATACAGAGCGTCTCCCTCCCCTCCCCCTCTCTCTCACACCTGATGTACACACACACACACACACACGCACACACACAAATACACCCCGCCGACAACGACCGATCGTCCTTCCTCTTTGGAGTAGACAGCTTTATGATCGGCTTTTGTTATCCCTGCCGCATTTTATGGAAGTGCGAAGAATGATGTCGGGGCGCACATGTAATGCAGATGTAATTGGCATCACGTGCACGAGGTCGGAACAGGGATCTCGCATTTACATTTCGATGGTTACAGGGACGTGCGGGATGTTGTAACTCGAACGAAATTATTTTTGCATTCTCATCATTAGCGGAGCATGTCGGATCTTTGTTAGCGAAACGAAGTTGCATGTCAAATGTTCATTCGACCTTTATAATAAGCACTACTGTAGCAGTGCTGAATTAGCCTTAACAACATCGAGATTTTTTTTATAACTGTAATTACAAAAAGAAAGAATATATTTTTCATCCATTTAATAAAATTACATCTACAATTTACAATATTAAATTTCTCCTCTTCGCCTCTACTGACAGTTTATTATAAGATTGTTATTATTAAATAATAGCATTACTTTTCCTTCATATTTTTATTCTCAAGATCATTTATAAAACTGACTGACGTTCGGTTATAAAATTTGCTGGGAATAATTAATAGCTTAGTAATTAATTATTATGTGGTTTTTCTTAGTGTCTCAAAGCGTTGTGCTACCAACACAAGCATAAGTTTTACCCTGCGGCTTGCAAAAAAGCCGCGCACCGGCTTACAGCACATCCGCTATAATGCGTTAATTAACTCGGCTTAGAGCTCGCCTTGCACCTTTACGTTATCCTATAAAAGCCAATGTGCGCCGGTTCACTTTTGATGACCGTCCCGGATGAATCATCCAACGCGAAAGAGGCGTGAATTACTTAACCGACGTATCCACAAGGATAATCCGCATTGAATAATAAAAAAGGTAAAGCCATTCTCTATTTTCG